CAATAATATCTGTGGGCACTGACTTGTTGCCACCAACTTGGCTTGAGAAGAAAAGAAATTAAGGCTACTGAGGTGTTGTAGTAATTAGTAATGTAAAATACAAAAACAGTAACAAAGAGCTATTTGTCAATGCTTTCGGGCCCTTAAAACAATTGTGGAGTTTTGTGTTAACTTGATATCAATCTTGTATATCACAAATAAGCCCTCTGTCAATGTAGTAACATTATGAAAAAAGAATTTAAAGAAAACATTAAAATAATAACCTTTATTTGTTGGTCCCTCGGTTACTAAGCATCAAGGACACCCATTATTAAATGAAAGGTTGTGGCAAAGATCACAGATGAGACAAAGAAAATATAAATCCAGTCTGCAAAATGAATAATTCAGAAAAATTCTGAGATTATAAAACCTAGAGCTAATTTTTCATTAAGAAATTTTGTTAGTGATACATACTAATCACAGATCCCCCTCTTCCCTCCTTCCACCCCTCCAACCTTCCCCCGTCACCCATTCCCTCCAACAAGAAGGTAAGGCCTCCCATAGGAAGTCAGCAAAGCCTGGTACATTCAGTAGAGGCGGGTCCAAGCCCCTCTCTCTGCATCAAGGCTGTGCAAGGTATCCCACCACAGGTAGTGGGCTCCAAAAAGCCAGTCAGTTGTGTAGCTTGATCTGGTTAAGGGGCCCCCTGGCAGTAGGATCAGGATCCATCCTTGGTGCATGAACTGGCCTTTTAGAGCTAATTTCTAAGGAATTACACTACTAATTCTGGCCCTAGCAACTAATCAAGGCCTAAAACACTGATAGCAAGTACTCATCTATTCTTTTTTTTTTTTTAGATGGAGAGGCAGTTCCATATAGGGTAGGCAATATCTCAACATTTAAAAATAATAACAAAGAGCCCTAAGGAACATCCTTTTGCAGGTACCTAGAAACATAGGAAGGCTGGTAAAGAAACATACTTTGCCCTATTCAAACACATTAAACACTGCATAATGAGGAATGGTGAACAGATTTGAGTTCACTATTATCATTGTGTCTTTCAGATACTTCACCTTTAGAAAGGTTTGACTCCATGTGTGTATTCAAATGAGAGTTTAATGTACATAGTAACTAATAGTAAATGACCCACCACCCCCTCCCAGGTATCAAGAAGGGTTGAATTTCCCACTTATCAGAGAGTCATTAGGGTAGGTTAGCATCTCAATCTCAGATTTGCTTTTTGGACAGTTGAGGGAACACTTCAAAAATGAACCAGCTAAACAAACTTCCCAGCAGTACTTGACAGAGCTACACCTATTCTTCCCATTTCCAAAGCAGTAGAGAATTAATTACCAGTTCTATGGATCTATTGTAAGTATAATAGACTAAAGAGCTATCACAGACACATTTATTGTAAAAGCACAATCCCAAGAGTGTCTAGTGGAGGGCCAAAACGATTAACACAAATGCTTTGTCAGATCAAAGATAAAACCTGCACCGCCCAATTGAGGAATGAATTAGAACAGTGGGTTATCTTTCAAATTAACCAGGGCAGTTAGTGAGGAAAATTTCATGAAAGTGTAATTCTTAGCCTTTGTGAATCCACACAGCAGGCATTCTGCCAGCTGACAAGATGATGAAATTTTCATGCTTAAAAAAAGCCCTCTTCATTTCCCAATTTAGATTAGCTAGTGCTTCTCTCCCTTTGTCTGTCTCTCTCTCTCTCTCTCTCTCTCTCTCTCTCTCTCTCTCTCTCTCTCTCTCTCTC